CTATGAAAAAATCTCTTGTGAAAGATTTATGAATCTAACATAGGACCATGGGAAAAGATGATGAATGTTGTGTTTTCAATCCTTAAAATTCTATTATGCTACAAGGAAGTTAAATAAGAAAAATTAATTTCACTATCCAAAGAGTGGCTGTATCTTTTTAAATCACATGTATATGGTCAAATGGCTGGCAAAATCATATAGGGTGTACATTATTGTCTATCTTTCTTTATAAATAGAGATGAATGAGTTTTATTACTTAATGAATAACAATAATTAACTCAAAGCCTTGTCATGTCACAAACTCAAAGAGAATGTATGGTTGTGCATATACAGATTGCATCAAATTATACATTGTTTTCATGAATATCTTTATAGTACATAGAACTTCAAGCACCAACACACGTATGTCATGTTCGTTATGAATAATTAAAATGCCAGAGTGAGCCAGGGTTATTGCCATGAATATCTGTGTGAATGGATATTGACCATCCCTCCAAGTGTAAGTTACACCAACAAAGCTAGACTGACTAGAAATGATGGTGTAATCTAGATAATCATAGGGTTTTGTAAAGAGGGAAGTTAGTAGGAAGATGTGACATGCTAGTGATACATCTAAAATTCATTCAAATAACTGGAAGAACAAAGTTCAAACTACTTCTAATAGAAATATCGAAAGATGTAAGAGTGGTAGAATACAAACTATCTGAATTTATCTGATTAGTGGGTTGCACTCAATAGACATAGATGTACGAGAGATGTTTGACAAATTCTACTGTCCCAAGCGCCAGTCACTATCTCGAAAACTAACATTCTTCCTGTCACTCCTGCACTACTTTCTGCCAGACCAGGAATGCCCTTCCTCGAGAAACTCAAATCCAAGACGTAATGTCAGGACATCTTGATCATCAATGCAGAGATGGAACCTCAATACGCCAGATCTGAGACAAGTTACCAGATCAATGGCAAACTTCGTCTTCCAGAGCACACGTGAAGGTTGCTTCCGTTTTCTGTCGGAAATTCACGTGCCTCAGTCCGATCATTTGCTCGCTGATCCGGTGCCTATAACAATTTCAATACTATTCAGCGAGCGATTTTAATGTTCGTAGTCCAATTCCTGTCCTTGGACTTCATCTTCCAATATTCTCTCCAGATGAAGGCTATTCTTGTATCAGACAATTGGGACCTGGATTCACGTACGGCAATGACCAGCTCGACGACCACCACCACCATTCTAAGATAGGCTTTGACTGAGACGGCTAAGAAGATGGGACAGCTAGCGTTCTGCCTATGAGTCAGTGCCCTCACATACGGCACCGGCGCTGCTACAGCCAACAAAGAGGTCAATCTCAAGGTTTTGTTTCTTGCGATTGCTTCTTCATGTTACCCACCTTTATGAATTTAAGGTCGGCAGTTCGCCCTGTGTTACCAGGTGTCTTTCAGATACACGTCTTCAAAATTATATATTATCGATCTGATGATTCTTCTGGGGGGTTTTCGTATCTCAACCAAAGTCTCAGAAGTGAAGATTTTAGCAAGAACATTTCTCTTCTTACTCCTTCAGACCGGGAGGAGATTCGTCTCAGTTGTTCCTAACTTTGTACGAAAGTGTCTGTTGTATTTAATCTTATGATAGCCAATCACAATTAAATTCCCAGCAGCTAGGACTCTAACAAGTGCGCAGTATCTGGACGAAGATTGCAGCACTCTAGCAACGGTCCTACACGATTCACCTGCCCTGTTTCAGATCTTGCGGTTGAATCCCAAGCAAGTTCGTTGGATTGCTCATTTTTTCACTAGAGATGAATTTTCTGACCTTTCTTCTCAATTATAAATCCGACATGTCACAGTTTTCTATAATGGAAAGATTATTCTTCTGGATGCAGCAAGTAAATCACAAACGATTTCTTAAAAATTATAGGTTCCAGCATAGTTGCCCAGATTCTAAATCGCTGGTGCACTCCGACTGAGCGTCAATTCGAGATCATACTCCATCGCCACATCGGGTGATTATATAGCGAGCAAGGTGACGATTCAGATCAATACATTCACAGAAACTTTGCGGCGGCGATTTTTATCGTCTTGAATGTTGATGTCCTTACTAATTGCAGCGTACATTCCTTCTACCACTTGAGTGGCCCGGCCTCTCTTGCTAAAGATATTTCAGCCCATCGCTGGCTTCGATGAACATAAGCACGAGTGAACTGGTGACCAGTGGTTTCTTTGCAGGAATATTACTCTCGGGATCCAATGTTTATGGTGCGTGTGAAAGTACTTTCCGCATTCTCGATCTGTACAGAATTTGACAAGCAGGCGAAGATGAAGAGGAAGACACATGAAGTGAAATGTACTGTAATGTAACAGGACATCGATGAGCGGAAAGAAAAGAACAGTTTCTGAGAAATACGAAATTGATGTGCAGCATAAATCAGCACAAATCCACCTTGGTCTAAGTAAAGCAAAGTCCAGTTGTAATGTGCGCATTACCATCCACCAACAGTGAACTAGCTTCACACCTTAAAATGCATGAATGTGGAATGGTACACCCAACGAACACGGGCGATACATTCAGAATCTCCTCTTGTCGTTCTCCGAGATATTCAAAATCTTGAGGACGGAGCATCTGATACACACTATAATTGATCGCATGCCAGAATGACGTATACAGTCCTCATCACCGAGTCCCAACTTCTTTCAGCGAAGAAATTAAGAGGAGATTATTCTGTTGAACTCTTCTCATCATCTGTTGTACACAGTTAACACCTATCACTGAAACCTACAACGATTTGGTCGACACGACAGTCTCCAGTCAAATTGCTCACATCAGCAGGCCAGCTGATGTGATCAGACTGAGAATCCCCTCCATTCGAGCAGATTCTCAAATGTGACAATCTTCAGAAACTAGTCCGTGAAATCGCGGAAAGATTAGCGGTATGAGAGTATTGTAAGTTTGTCTTTTTCTAGACTCAACAGTCTACAATGTTGACTAACTGAGCTCACATAAGATATATAGATGCCATGAGTCACAAATCTTGTACTGAAGATTTTCCTATGAAGAACTTTTCCACTTGAATATTAGCAGGGATTGGAACTGTGTTCTGTATTCTCAGTGAAATTTCTCCACCAGCTCTTCATTGAGCGGAATACAGAGTGACTATGATGTTGTAATCACTTCCTTCTTTGGTTAGGCTCCATCGGCCGCAAATTGAGAAGGGAAGCCTCCACCTGGACTCCTATTATGACTGACGTATAAGAGTTAAAATCTTCGTCTCCATCGCCATCCCGAGTGAGAATTGTGGCCATTGTCAATGTACAAGTAAAGTTTGAAGTAGGGGCGATTCAGATGGATGGTCTCAATACGTAGTCTCTGGTTCAAAAAGATCATTTCTCTTTGTTGCAGAAATTGGCCATCAACAAGAAAAATTGTTCCAAGTCTTGAAATTACTACAGGGGATAGAAACCCTGAGATATGTACACCCAATGGATGGATGCACATCCATTGGGTGACAAACACACCTTTGTACAACTCTGCGATGGAATGTACCAGGGAGGGACTTGGGTCAGCACGGGAATTCTTCCAATGGCAGTAATTACGGCTGAACGCTCAAGGAACCGATTTACGATCAAAACATGCAAGCTTTTCTACTCAAACAGTTCACATCTGAAACAGTAGATGTAGATCAAGGATAAAACAATTTCGACAATGCAGGTCCCAGACAAATTAAGTGCGAAATTCTTGAAGAGAAGTAAGAATAATAACTTCTCAAGGTGAAACAATTTTGCTGTGCAGCCTTGAAAGCTTCGAAGTACAACCCGAAATGACAGGAACCATTGACGGGAGAGTGGTTGGATGATGTGAGTCATGGGATAAACTACAGGGTTCATGATCTGTACTGTTATTATCACCTGGGCCATATGTCATGGTCTCATTCCCTTTTCGTCTTTCATATGGAGTAGTAGAACTTGCAAATTTCCTCCACGAAGGATATGAAGAACGGCTGTTTTGTCCTCCGGGGAAGACTTGCCGTAGAGGCAGAAGTCTCGAGATTACAGGTGAAATTTCCCGAAAGGGACAGCAGCTGCCCACAATTGTTTTCTCCTGATTGGGATCTTTGCACTCAGTTGCTGACCAGCTTTCGGCCGTGGTACGTGTAGGCTAGCTAACTCGAGCTCGTAGGAACTATACTCCACAAGGTATCTACGTTGTCGGCTTCCTGGTCGTTGTCACTTCGGCTATTCCTTTTGGACCACGTATCCCCGAGTCCGTACCTTACGTGGTTACCAACGAAAATAACCGACGTAGGTTGCCAGGTAAGCGGAACTCCAAATGTCAGTGTCTGAAACCCAGTCCCAGTCCAGCTCGGATGATTTTGCATGCTGATATTGCTAGATGGGACCTCCATACGTGAGCGTGGTAACTGGTACTTGACTTTGACTGGACGATGCAACCACATGTGCGTTGTGCCAACTGTCCAGAAGGTACACGTACATTGCTGACTCACATGGGGGCGTGTGCGTCTGACGTATACGGTTCCACCGGAATACTCCAGCCACATACTCTCCGTATAGAAACCGTTTCGTATGTATACATGCGAGAATCTACTATGCATGTTTTTCAGAACATTTGCCTACTTTTCAGAAAATATTGATTTTGGTTTGCAGAAAAACTGAAGTGGCCTTCGTAGTGGGGTCAACGTATTAACATGTGAGAAGTGACGGATCGCCCTCACTAATGCCTCGCCCTACCTTGGGTCCGAGCAGAATAATATTCCGAGTCCTGATACAAAGGAAAGGGGTGCTTCACATGAATTTGCACCATTTCTTGCTCTTCTTCCGTATCCACAAAGGATGCAACTTATTCCGTGTTCCAACGCATTTCCGCGACCTCCTGCTGCTCCTTCTCTCACTCCGTTCGACTGAAGCTAAGGCGGGGGGCTCTTCTTTCCTATTGCTTTAAATGAAGAGTTCATGCGCGCATGTTTGATTGGACTGTATGCGCACACGCATACGTATGACCAACACTGGAAGAGCTGAGCTCATTGGGTCCAAAATATAAAAGCGGGCAGTATCCGTAGACATGCTCAATGAGTCACTCACTCTCCCTCTAGCTTATTCCCTACATATATATATCATCTGTCTATTCTTCAGGTGAAGCATAAACGGTATTCACAATTGCCGTGGTGAATTGATCAAGTGAGCTGATCATAGCAGGACTCGAAGCCACAGGTTCAGACCTGTCATTCGTGGAACTTTGGGAGACTTTCAGAGATCCAGCCAGCCGACGTCCTGACCTCCTCTGATCGTCGTGACTTAGTTCCTAGGGCAGTCTGATTCTTGCCTTCAAATGTACGATGGCTACATTTTCCCGGTGAACAGATTCCGAAGACTTCTCTCCACACATCCAAGCAGCTGCAAGTTCCGTTTCGCAGCTGATCTCGATTACTTAGACCCAAGAACTCAGCTGGCTCTGTACGTGCCGTCACTGTGCGAAGATGGCTAGACCGTCGACCAGCGTGAGGAGTACCTCTCTCAGACTGCTCTTGGGTGCTCTTCTAGCACATCAGTTATTAGTGCTCGTCGCTGCGGATATCAAAGGAGGCATAATTAGCCGAAAGGGTACTCAATTCTTCGACGCGAACGGAAATCCCTTCCTGGTGCATGGCTGCAATTTTTACTGGTTGATGTACCAAGCAGCGGACCCGTCGTCTCGTAATTTGGTCGACGATGTGCTAGAGGACGCACAAAGGTTGGGACTCAACGTGGGACGTACGTGGGCTTTCGCTGATGGTGGCTATAGAGCTCTGCAATTATCTCCTGGAGTGTACGATGAGACTGTCTTCCAGGTATGTCTTCGTGGGTGTTACAGCTTTGCCCGTGATTGCATGGAGAGAACAAAAATCTAGAGACTGCAATGGTGCTCACGTAAACCTTACAGGTCCAGGTCTGCTAGAATCGGCATCTGTGATACTCGTTGATCTGTATATTCGGGCGCTTTGTTAGATTTCTTGACGAAGATGACAGAGGAATCTGACCAACAAAATGAATCGACAGATTGGATTGCTGCTTTCATTGAAAATGTCTCGTGGTCGACTCCGTTTATGCTTCGCTTTTAACAGTTTCGTTAACTATGCTGATTGGCCTGTTGAAGTGAGTGTGATGAAGTGCGCTTAGAACATGTTTGTGTCACGTGGTCTCGAGGCCGAATAAATCCTAGCTGTCAGTGCACAGAGCAAGGCTGGGCTAGAAGAGATTGATGCAGTCAGATGGGTCTCAAAGCTTTTTCTGCCTGGAATTTCTCTCTCCACAGTATCCACCCTTTAGGTGGGCTACATGCATGCTATTCGGAATCAGTGACAGTCTACGTAAATCAGAGCAGACCTTTGATACGATTCGATTCATCTGTCACATCTACTCGTTTACTTCTTTTCGTAAGCTAATAGCGCGTGGTGTCGATAAAATAACACACTCCAGACTGAAATTTTACCAATGCCCCCGGGCCTGCCGGATCATGCGAGAGCAATGTTCATATTATGTGGGTGAGATTCCAGAGCGACTCATCGTGATGGTTGAGGTTCGGTAGGACTGTAGTAGCAGCGCAGAATCAAGGAGATGATCTTGCGTTCGAACAGCACACTGGGATTCTTTCTTTCTGCGGGTGCTTCGAGGGGATGCTTACATTCGAGCTTTGAGTCCAGTCCAAGAATTTCTTCCTATTCTGATGGGTAGACTCTCGTTCTATGGATGTACGAGCAGGCACTGGATTATGCCCTGGTACAAGCTCGGAAACACAACATGAGACTCGTGTTGAGTCTGGTAAACAACTACGAGAATTACGGAGGGAAACCACAATACGCTCTCTGGGGGCGTCAGCGAGGCCATCATGTGCCCAACGATGATGCTTTCTACACGCACCCAGTACTTCGAACTTGGTACAAGAATCACGTCAAGGTACATCATCTTCTCTTCTTCACTACTAAACCATGTGATTCAAAAATGGCAACTGCAATTGTGTTTGGAATCCACGTGCCGCGCTGAATAATTCGGCAATGATTAATATTGTTAGACCTTCGGTTGTTTCAGTGACTAGTCCAGGAAATAATCTTTCCATGATGATGACTCTGTGCAGAGAGTCTTGACCAGAGTGAACACCATCTCCGGAATAGCATACAAGGATGATCCCACCATTTTCGCATGGGAGCTCATAAATGAGCCTCGTTGCGAGACAGATCCTTCAGGAAATACAATGGCGGTAAGAGAAATTACCATCATCTGTAAATTCATGTACATTCGTGTTGTATGCATAGGTGCACAGAGTAAAATTCTCCACGTTTGAACAAGCTGCAACCATCTCGGAAGATTCGAATATTCTATCTGAGAATACAGACGTTGAATTCCGAATCGTCACAGATGTCTTTGCCAGTACGCAATTCAATTAACAGAGGAAACTTCTGAGATGCAGAAATGGGTCAAGGAGATGGCAGCTTATGTCAAGTCGATAGACAAGAAACATATGTTGGAAATTGGCTTGGAAGGCTTCTACGGCCCGAAGCACGGAATCAGCCGAAGGTGGGCCTACCCATTCAACACCGACAACACTGGCACCGACTACATTCGCTTGAACAAAATCGCGAACATCGACTACGCCACAGTCCATTCCTACCCAGATCTTTGGTAAGAGCACAATCTCTGTACGCAGTGGAGTAACCGTGTGCCTTCAATCTTCGTGCTCAAGCCGAATATTACATTCATAGCAGCGTGAGCGTGTACTCGTAGACTTTTCCTGAGACACTTAATGTCGACAGGCTTTAGGATTTGCTGTCGCCGCCACTAGTCTGAGCTCCGAGTCTAAGACGAAGAAACCTCTTCCGTCTCCTTTCCTGTCGTCTCCTCTCCTCTCCTCTCCTCTCCTGCGTGAGCTCCAAGCGTTGTTTTCGTAAGCCGCGTAGATGTAGGTGGCAGTTGTCTGCTCTCCTTTTGCAGCTACGACGCAACCGCAAAACCGAATCCAGCCGGAACTTCACCCTGGCCTTCGTGACATCTCACGGGCGGGCCCTTCAGCTCGAAAGTAGATGTCAGCAATCCGAGGCTGGTAACTCCCGGGTCAAACTGACTGTACTCGTCCGTCGTAATCTGGTGAAAGTCGATTTCCTGTCATAAGCTGATCTAGAAATGCATTTCGTTATGGAATGCATGGGAATTGTCAGTCACGTGGCAGTATATACTTGCCCATATTTCCCATATCTGGAGAACTGCGGACGCCTTAGCGAGTAGATAGTTGGATCCTCGACTAGTTTGAGTGTGAAAGTGAAAAGGTAAAGAAGTACACATGACTAGCGAAAATATTCCCCTTGAAAGTAATTGAGGGGTTTGGGGATGCCGGCCTCGTGACAAGACACTCAAATGATGCGTTTCATTGATTTCTACCGAGGAAGTGATGATGGATATATGTATACAGTGGTTGTCCTATAGTCAAAACATTCTTTTAGAGATGATGTAAGGGACGTCGGTCCTTTGAAGATCTAGAGGGTCTGACCCCTATCGATCAAAGGCATTTGATAAGTTTGTAGTGTCTTTGATATTGGTGCAGAACCACCCATGGAAGAAGATATTCCGATGGGATGAGGAGAAAAGGAGAATAGCTTTGCTCCTTTCTTTTCAAGGGTGAGGTTGTAGTCATGTCGTCGTTGTTCTTTGGAGTAGCCGGTCTCGACAATTCCAGTCGGGGAGGAGTTTCTGAGAGCCCAAACGAAGCTACTCTGTAAAATTGGTCATCAAGAACCTCGAATTGAACAAGGTAGGTCCCCGTGAAAGGTGGAAAGAATTTATTTTCTGAAAGGTTTTTTTCAATTTATGGTTTCACGTGTGTACTCAGTAACGCACAACGGGTGTGGGTAGGGGTATAGGGTACGTAAATAGAACATCTATATGTGTATCTATAACTGTAGTCCAAGATAAAAGAAGGAGTGGATTATGCACCAAAAAATGCTCTCGATACATGGTATCGAAAGCAGATGTCAGGAAAATAGTATAGCAGATTGAAACTAAGGAGAATATTCGATGGACAGGGAATAAGATAGGTAGAATGATAAAGTTAATCTACGCGGACGTAAATTCTAAATTCTCAAAGGTAACGCTGTATACAGGAGGGAACATGTCTAAATATAATTTCGTCAAGAGGAAAAGTTTTGAAGAATGTAATTGACATATGGAAAATACAAATGGCTAAATCTTGAATCTTTTACTTCTTAACGTGTGATATTCACTGCCATAACATCTTAAGATGCGAGCATAGTGGAAATGCGAAAGGTTTAATAAGCGTACTTAATAACATCAGCTTCTGAATGGAAATATGGGAAATAGTACATAGGAAGAAAACGAGCTTTATGACGTGTATTATTAGAAAGATCGCACATAGGGTTGAGTTTTCCATCTTTCTGTTCAGAGCGGTTGATTACGCGGAGACTGCAGACAAGGTCGGTTGATTTCTTGGGTTTGCAGTTGAAATGTGACTTAACAGAAGGAAAAAAAAAAGGTGAATAAGCTCTAACAGGGGTTGAAGGGTTTTGGGAAGTTTTATTACATTATATCTACAGTATATATATCGTATAGTGAATAAGGATAGAGATACTGACAAACTTCACTATTTTCAGGCTTGCCTTCCTTACTAACCCTATGACGTGGAGATTCACTTTCATACTAACTGTAAAACTAGATCCACAGTGAAGTGAAGAAGGACCTGGAAACCGTTGTGTTCGTTCTAAACTATATAGTTGAGTGCTGGCAGTTGTAATCAGTTGGAGGAACATATCGCGAGCGTTGACTGTAACTACTTCGTCCCAGATCCAGAAACATCATAGCCTTTGTAGCCTTTGTAGTCTCCAAAGTATGTAGTGAATATTGTGGGGTCAAGAATCTGTGACTCACGATCTCGTGAAGTACATTCTGTTATTGCTTTGTGTTGCCTGGAGTCATCAGATGAAACCACTGACGAAGTGACATGGGTGGCTGAGTTCGAAAGCCTTGCCAGTCAGGAGTTGTCTTGACAAGGAGTGTTTACTCAGTCCATTGCCTGGTGAGTCAAGGATTGTCGAGTAGTCACTCGACAATCCTTGAGAAGTTTAAGAACATTAGAGAGAATGTCACTCCAGCTTCGGTCGGTGATTTGGTGCAAGAGCTCCAGCACAGAAATTCCTTGGGTCTCTAGTAGTTGATATGTTAAGCTCCTGACCGTGGACGATCTTATCGTGTGGGTGCTAACGACTTCTCCTTGTTTCTATAATCTCCCTGCTAGCGGGGCACTTTTCCTCCTCACTGCTGGCTACTTATTCATACAACTTCTTTTTTGGTTTTTTTCTAAGTCAAATAGATATGAATTTATGTCGCTCGTTTTCGAAGAAGATCCCATTATAACAGAACTTTCCTGCAGAACTGATCCTACCGATGCTCAAAGTATGCGATTTTGACGGTACTGTATCTCCACTCGCCACGGCCAGAGTCTCTGGCCATGGAGCAGAGTACTTTGTGTGGATTCGATCGTCCGCTCTGGCAGGCGAGAAGACTGACAGGAATCGAAATTTGGACGCTATGCGACAAAACGTTTGAGAATTTGCTGCTGATAAATCATTGCTCGTTGACCGCAGGCTCACGTCTTGGAACAATCCAGCCAAACTGATATTCCTGCGAATCTGGACGAACATCCACATCCGAGATGCAAATAAGGTCCTGAAGATGCCGATCCTGTTCGGGGAGTTCGGCAAGAGCAATCGCGTCAGTGGGTACGAGCCCGTGCAGCGGCAAGAATTTTTCTGGACGGTGTACAACAGCGTGTACTCGTCCATCGAGAGAGGCGGCGGAGGAGTCGGCTCCATGCTCTGGCAGCTGCTTCCGAAGGGCATGGAGTCGTGGGATGATGGATTCGCTGTGTTTGCGAGCGATCCCGCCACGTCCAACGTCATCAACTCCCAAACCATGCGCCTGGCCACGGTCTCCAAAGCTCTGAGGGAGGCCAGGAACGCATCGTCCTCGACATCAGGATCAGCACGTGCTCGAATCCGCAGTAAACTCGAATCGGAACCACTATCCTCCTCATCATCAGACACCCTGCCGTCTACCGACTTTCGGTAGGAGACTGTCGTGCCAGAGAGTATGATTCGCTCGATGGTGTCGACTTCCCCAACAGTCCGAGCTAGGAGTTGTTCCTTCCGGTAAGGTGGCATGCTCAATTCCTACTTTCTTTCAGCTCTCCGTTGGCAGCACCATAGCTCACCTTGAGTGAGAGCGCACATGTACAATACAGTTCACTCAAAATTCTTTCAGCTTCTCTCTGGGACCAACCTCGTTGCCCTTCAATCGAGAGAGCGCAGACACAGAGATATATTCCCCCAGCTCTCCCTTGGCCTCCAAATGTCATAGCCGGATGAGAGAGCGAACCCTAGACAAAATGATTGTATATCCCAGACAAGTCCCTGGCAACCCTGCAGCTCCCATCGCCACTCATCCTCGGCAAAGCCAGAGTCGATTAGTGGACACAACCATGGCGATGGTGAAGCAGCAAACTCTGAACAGGCCTATAGTCACAATACTGGCAGAATAGAGAGCCGGCTTAGAGTTCCAGTATGGATCCGCCCAAATTAGGCCAACCAGTGCCATTGATACAACACGGTACATATTATCTGCAGCCAGATATAACTTCATAACCAATCTTTAGCAACTAGTCCTGGTTGCATATAATAAATCAATCCGATCGACCCTCACTTCTACAGTACGGAGCCCAGTCAACCATTTTGAATAAATAAGTGGCTCCAGATCTAGATTATATGAAAGGAATTCGAGAGATATCAGTCGATTTCGGATTTAACTCTGAACAAATTATAGCATAGAATTCTACAAAATTTGTAAGCTCGTCTGTTAATTCGCAATAACAGATTCTCACCTTTGCTGTGAAAGAGTAAAGATTTGTCAATTATAATTACTCCACTTACGAGGTTGAAGAGTCTCTGGATTTTTTTCAACATGTCTGGTTTTTGACACCTGTCATCAATTGTCCACGGGAATTACAGAGTATTGAAGGATATTAAAGCCAATCCTGAAATTTGGTCTGGAAATTTGTAGTACAAACTTTGCACTTTATGTGAGTGATTAAAAAAACCTGACCATCAAGAAACTGCTGTGTTGTAAAAGATCGTAGTATGTTTAATGGACAATAAGAGTTGATTGATACTCTAAAGTAAACTACTGCAAATGATAATTATAGTTCACCATATACATAATCCATTACATAAATATGTCAAAGAAAAATTGACAAATACATTGCTGAAGTATAACTTTTGGTATTCCCATTGAAAAGTTCTGCAGGAACTAAATAGAGTTCCACCTCTATGTTCCTCGGCTACCCACATGGCATTCTTGGTTGAGATCTTGTCATCTGGATTCCCATTCGCAGTGCTCAGTGAAGCCTCCAGATCGATTCAAGCTAAGATTGGGGCATCTGGAAAATTGAAAAACCTTCTCAAAGATTTTGACTCTATGGGCCTTCGATCCTGATCCCCTTGCTGCTAGCGAGTTGCTCCTCGCTTTTGAAGATGCAGTTATGTTTATGTTCTTGTCTCGCTATGTGAATCCAGGATATTCGTCATGCTCAATCTGCCTCAAGAGTATGGTGAATGTGGAGGAGTATGGCTCCGAGTCCACTTGCAGTATCTTGCACTCTTTTCTCATCGCTGTGAGTAAATTTCAAGCGCAAACATCTACACCTGTTAGTAAGTGGACAAAGTTTACATGCAGGATGTTGTGAGTCCAATCCAACAAAATCATAGAATCTCCATGTGCTCGTTGAACAGGCGATTGATTGCAACGGTGAACTCTCGAATTCTACCAGTGATTTCCAAAGTTTTTTATCTCCAACGACCGTTGACGAGAACACCGGTATCGTCAGGAAGATAAAGCTTGTTGATGAAAAACAATGAAATCATCTCCGAGTCTTTCAAGTCGGAGATGCCATCTAACTTGAAGCTTTTTCAGAAGATACGATATACAATGACAGGGTTTAAAGCGGGCTCACGGAAATCGCCACAAATTTCAACCTTTCTACTCAAGTCCAGTCTTAATAACGGTTGAGATAAATTTGACATTAGCAAAATTGAAATCAGACATGATTTTGAGAACTCGAGATATACAAATGCAACGGATGTATATGTCCTTTAGTAGATCGGGTCTCTGCAATACATCCGTTGCGGAATATCTTTTCGGACAGTTCAAGTGCCATGGAGAAATTCAAACTGATACGGGTCAATATACCAAAACAACACAACTGCAAGACCTGGTGATTGTCGAAGATCGATGATTCCAATTTGAACACAGAAGTTGAAATTCCACCACCATTCCATTTCCTTTGATCATTGCTCGCTCGCTCTTCGCAATATCATGTTTCCAACCCCGACAGCTTTTGACTCTTCCTTTCCAACTCTCTCTCTCCCTCTCTCTGATTCTGATTTTATTCCAAATGGGTTGTTGTCCCATGATCGACTTTCTTTCTTTCTCTCTCTGAGAGATCATGGCAGCCTGCCACCTAAGAAGAGATTGGATGTGCATGTGCATCTATCCTCAAAATTAGTGCAGTTTCCAGACCATTGCACGTACATTGTATGTTGCACTTGCTCCGAATTCAGTGTGAGAATCAACTCGCATCAGTCTCCGTCTCTCTCTCTTTCTCTCATACACACACAGACAAACAGCTGCTGACCAGAACAATATTCGATGCTGGTTAGCCAGTGACGAGAAGTCATGGACGACTCGCAATCGTGGCGTATCTGAAAAGACAGAATGATTAAGGAGTTTGTGATCCACGACGAGAACTAGCTCCGCTGCGTCCTGATCTGATTCATCTCCTCGACCCGAGCACTGCAGCAGCATGCATGTGACTGCACTAGCGCCATCTCGTATGGCGGATAAACCATCGACAGCTAGAGCGTGGGCGTTCTAGAATGCGACACTGACCTACCGCGAGCCCTGCTAGTGGGATGTGGGAGCTTCCATTGCAGGACACTGGTTTTTTATGGTCAAGGTTCGCTGCCGAGTACCCAGTACTACTTGTATTTGGCCTCGCTGTGCAGACCTTCAAGCTGCATTTGCTGGAAGGTGAGGCCTTCAAGGCTCTCTTCTGTTTCGGAGCCTTCCGCATTGCACAAATGAGCTCATCGGACCAGACGGCTATACTCACTCTTTTCTAAAGCTGATCTCTGCCGCCAAGTTCTGTCTAGGTCTGAGATCATTCTCAGACCTAACCTAAAATTTGACAGACTTGCAGCTCAACGATGACACAACACAGTAGAACATAGCACAATACATCAGAGCACACCAGAACTCAACTCAATTCGTTGGACTCTCTGGTGGTAGTGGAATCAAACTTCGGTGTCACTGGTTTTGAAAATCCCTTACCGATTTACAGAACCTGTGCATCCCGTTTCAGACACCTGAGCTCTCTGTTGAATCTTCCTTGTACTGCTATGTATGCTCATGCTCGGCAGAACGATCAAGTTGCCACTAGGAACAAAAACTATCAAGTTGCCACTACGAACTAACTATTTCTCTAGCTTGTGACAACTCACTCTGATGAGCTTCTAACCTGAAACTCTATACTCTCTTCTCTGCTCTCTTGTGCACTACCTGAAGAGGTAGAAAAACTGCCTTGCGGGATCAGACTCAACCTGTGCTTTTTTACTTTTCCTGCGAAGATACTCGTCTACCTCAAAACTCGTTACTTTCTCTCCACTGTACATATATGGAAAAACGAGAACCGACACCCAGACACGCAAGGGTTGAGTGTGCCGCCATCTTGCCCCACTGTGTACTGCCACGTACAGAGACACATGTCGAAGTGAATACATCAGGATTTAACTGACAAAATTTGGAGTCCGTCATTACAATGGATTCCGCGATAGGGAATGATACTCGTTCTTGCAACTGTCAATTGTTGGACATGAACATCACCGGCTACATCACGAGTGATATGCCTGCTTTGGAAATCGTTGTACCATGATACTATTGTATCTCATAGTCTACTTCAATTGAGTAAAAAGTGGTATGCCTCGAGATGTTCTGTTGCAGAACCCATCAGGAAGGTACATGATAGCAATCAAAAGTTTGGAATTTGAGCAGATGGAAGAGCTTCCTTTTCTTGATTAAAGTTAAATCATCATGACATTGCAGGACTGAAGTACGATCCTTGATTATCCACAGATATGTCGCGGCTGGAGTCCAGTCTACTGGCACATCACTATATGCTAAACGTAGTCTTTTATAATATGAGACATGATGTATCAAGTTTTCTAGCATATTGTTAACCGGCAAATGCTATACAAAGTAAATAAACTACACTTGATGATGAGGCATAAGGTCCTCCTGTTTATACAGTGTTTCATTTTGATAATTTGGATATTATTTGACATATATGTCATCATGATATTATCGTGGAATAGACCTTCATCTCCCATGGATTTTTTGCCTTCTTGAGGGTGATGGGGTTTTCCACCTATTTTGATGATATATGTGAGCACTATTGCATTTCTGGGTCACTTTTAAGCTAGATTAGTCCCTGGTATGTGACCGAGGAGGTTTTCTGGATTTCACAGCTTCCTTGGTTTAATGTTATACTGCCTGTCTTTAGCCCATCTAACCACATATCAGTGAGCTAGTATAGAATACTGGGGACCTTTCCACATATTCGGCTAACTAACACAAGGCTCGGTCATGTACGTTTTATCCTCACAGTGATGAATACAAGACTTGATAGAAAGACTTGATAGTTTTAGATGCTTTCTCTACTCTTTATTGTTGACTTGGCAGCTACCTAAAGAGAGTTACCCCAACCCGTAGAGAAACCTTCGAAAGAAGCCATGATATATGCAGACGGTGTAGAAGAGCCAGATGGACAGCAAGCACTCGTGAACGATGAAATACGGCTAGGCCACGAGGGTATTAATGAGAAGTATGTCCTGCACTATGTAGATGAAACCTTTTGCATATAATATGTAGTAGCCTTTTTTTTTAGCTTTTCTTCCTGTAAGTTTTGATCATATATCTACCAGGGCCTTGTGTAGTACTTGGGGATTTATTTAACTCGTAAACCAACAACTTCCATAGCAAGTTATGTATTCAAACCATTTTGAATTATAAACTTCATCAAAATTAATTTCATGTATTTATTCACTTTTGTATGAATTTGTCAAGTTTGAAATACTCAATTTTTTTTTAAAGTATGTTATTGACATATGTTGGTAATATTAAATACAAAAATTATTGAACTAGTCAAGATTGAAGTTAAATTCAATCAAATTCATACGTTGAAGAAATTTATTACTTTGGAGAGTTCCAAATGATAATATGATACTATGCAAGTTGTGCAGGTATCTAGCAGCATAATATCTTTATTTTTATATAATTATTCTATCCTCAATTTTTAATTAACTTTTGTGTAAAGAAAATATTTATGCTAAGTTTATGTCTGAAACTTACCGCTGAGTAATAATATAGGCTACAAAGGTCAATGTTCCATTGATATGAATCAAGGGATAGATTGTTGATTTTAATTTTGATTAAAGAGTAACCTTAGGTTCTAGCTATTTATATTTAGATTGATCGTTAGTATTGGAAATATATACCTCAAGCTTTCTGCATTGTATTAATTTTCTTTTCCAAAATTGTTATAAACTCTCTCGTGTGCTTTCCCCATGGACAAATCTCTTTAAAGAATGATCAACATTATTATTGTGTCTATTTTTGTTTGTCTATCTGACTTTGTGGCTATCACTAACTTGTTTATTTCAGATTCACACCATCAAAAAACTTGAAATTTTTTTAAAAATCAACTTGAAAAAAATCTCATTCATATTTTCTTCATCATTTAAAATTTTGTATTGAATGAAAAAAATAAAAATTAATTCATAATCAAATAACTCATTAAAATTTGTATTAATATTTGATTTGAATGTTATATTTTCAACCACAAATTTTTAAAATAATTCAAGATAATTTATCAAATATAAAATTCATGGCTAAACCTAGTATTCATATTATTATGTTCATCTATCAATCATAATTAGCTAAATAGAATCATAATTAATCAAAATTGGTTTCAATTAAGGTATTCATATTCAGTTTTTTGATTGACTTTACAACATATATTTTATTAATTGTGTATCTTACATATTGCATCTAAGAAATTTGTTCACATCTTTAGTCAATTATATGAAATTAATTAAAACATCTTTTCATTGACAAAATAAGTAGTTGCAGTATAAGACCAACTTATGAATATTGAAAATCTCAGAACAATGCGAGTGGAAGTTTTACATGAATTGACACTCATATGTCAATTTTTGACCAAGAAAATCATTTCATGATCCTTTGCATGATGATATTTAATGTCAAGTTGTTATTGCCATGAAATTGCTTGCCAAACTAGAGGTGCTGAAAGATCATAATAAAGTGGAGATCAACAAGAAAGAGGTATCTAGACAATTTTTACCCTCAAGGAGAAATATCAAGATTTTTGATATATTTCAAAATTATTTTCATATTTTTTATTTTAGTTACACAAAGCTAATCATATGACATTAGAATCTTATCGCAGTAAATTATTTGGTAGAAACAACTCCAAATAATTTTTTAACGGATATGGTGATAAAAAAAAAGATCTATAAGTTGAAAAAATGTAATTCTATCTATATGGTTAAAAGATTTGAATATATATCACTATCACAATCTTCAAGTGTGATAATCTAAAAAAAATGTGATAAGCTACATGTATGTGTGGATACACAAAATTGAATGTTATCATGAAAAATCTGTATTATATTTCACATCTCATAGATGAAATGTTGTAGAAAATTAAAGACCATGAATGATATAACTTTGAAAATATTTATAATGGTTATAATCATCTCTAAAATTACGTATATTATAGCATGATAATTTTTTACTTTAAAATGATGACATTTGATGTATGCAATGCTTCAGATATCTTTCAAAGGTTTATGAATAGAACATTTGAACTTTTTGTTGAAAAGTTTCTACGATATTTCATAGATTATTTTTGTACTTACAAGAATAATAAGTATCATTTTGATTATTTGGTGTAAATTATCTAACGTTTGAAGGTAACTTAAGTTTTGATTCATCAAAAAAATGCAGTTCTGGATGTGATGAAGATTTGTTGTAAGCGCACATCATCTATGAGGATGATATAGAAGTGGATTAAGAGAAGATGACATTGATCAAATTGAGATAATTTTATGGTATGATGAAATACTATCAAATATTCATCTTGTCTTTTCCGAACAAATCTCAGCTTTGACAATCTACATAAGAAAGAGCATGAAGTATGAGTTTATCTTCAAAGATGCAAGATGATGTTTGACGTTCTCAAGAAAGCATTGATGACATCTTCAATTTTGGCAAAAATGGATTGGGACAAAAAAATTTCTTCTTTAAATGTATTCATCAAATATTGCTATAAGATGCAATTTGGAAATATTTGATGATATATAACATGATCATTAAGTTGATTATGCCAATGAATAAATAAAGCAAGCATAAAATAATTATTTTGTGACTGAAGAAACTTTAGTTGTCATTTTTTCATTTAAAAAGTTCTGACATTGTCTTTTGGTTGGAATTTTTGCTATAGTGATTGATCACAAGGCCTTGAAATTCATTATTCTTAAATCTATTGCAAAGAAAAGTAAAACCAGATGGAAGTTATTACTAGAATAGCTTGATTATATCCTCAATCAGCTCGACAAGAAACAAGATAAAGTTGATTTGATGTCTTAAGCAAAGAATGAGGAAATAGATCAATCGGTGGATGATATTATTCTGGATGAAACCTTGTTGGCTTATAAAAAATGTAACAATATTTTAAAGCACTAGAAAAAAATTTGGTATTTCATCTTTACTGAAAAAATTCTTCAAATTAGGCATTCAAAAAAAAATGCATTGGCTAAGAGATATCAACTGTATATGATTATAAGAAATATTTTGTTTCACCAAGTAACCAATCAACTTTAACAAAGAGAAGTTGATAAAGGAGAATCATTGTGATTGATGAAGTAGTTTCACAAAGTTCCAATATATGAAATATGTTTTCTGGAGAAATTAAATATTTTTGACATCTTTGATATTGATTATCATTGAAAGAATATATTCAAAACTTGTGTGGAATTTTTGCAAAAACTGTGATGTGTGTCAGGTTTTTATAAAAAAATCCATGAAAATCACTCCTTTGATATCAATTCTTGTTTTAGTTTATTCTGAAAAAATAGACTTTATAGATTCATTAAATCTTACACCTTGCAAAAGTAAATTCATTGTGATAACCACCGATGATCTTATCAAGTGTATAGAAGGTAGAACTCTCAAATCTACGAAGGATGATTTTGATGGATTTTTATAAAAAAATCCTTCAAAATCAGGCGGAGATGTATAGATATTTGTAATCTCATCAAAAACTGATTTTTATAAATATCTTAATGAAAAGTACATGAATCAAAGTTAATAAATATCCATTTTTTATTGTAATTATATCCAAAGCACAATAATCCACATACGTTCAAAGTGAAACTTTGTTGTTTTTTACAAAGTATGAGAGCTTTTGCCGTCAATTCAAAATGCTTAATAAAGTTTTTGGCAAGATTTTGTTGATGTACATTTTTTCATGTACATTGATATGATTGACTTACTTCTTGGAAATCAATTTCACAATCGTACAATCAATATTGAGGGAGTAAATGTTTTTTGAATACATCTTTATCTTTGATCAAAAGTTGGTTTTGAGTTTAAATTGTCTTTGATGTTTGAGCTGTATAGATTTAAAACATAGTTTTTTTCTTTGTAGCTTTCATGAACACTCTAGGGGAAACGAATTTGAAAGTTTGGAATTTTTATAATCTAATCATAAGGAAATTAATGTATTCTTGAGTTTCA